TTGGATTGGTCCAAGATTCCTCAGGGACAACTGCTGGAGTGGTACTTTGAAGGTGTTCTTTCCCTCTCCCTCTCTCTCCCCCTCTCCCTGTCCCCTCCTTCCTTCCCCTCTCCTCCCCTCCCCTCATCTCTCCCTCCCTCTTCCCTTCATGAGGAAGCTCCTGACTTCTGCTTTAAAGTGAAGCTTCTCTTTAGGGCCAGTTGTACTTAGATCTCCATGAACTGTATTGTTTCTGTCTAACTCTCTCCCACCCACCTTGAGGCCTTGTGGCCCAATCATAGCCTTGAGGACCTCTTGGAAGGGAGTTATAATTATGCTCTAGTTTCCTTTCTGGGCAGACCTCTGCTGAATTGCTATTTTTATATAACAGTATTCAGGACTAGTGCTTTAGATTGACATTTTTTTTCTTTTTTTGGAAAACAGAAGCACCAAAGAAGGATAACTAATGGGAAAAAAATTAAATTGGCCTATCCACCATAATAGTTATTAGCCATGTGTGATAGTGTACATTGAATAGTGAAAATATACAACAAATTCTGAAGGCTTGGTACAAAAAAGCTAATAAATTAAAAAAAATTTCATTAAAAATCTAAAACATTTCAGTCTCTTTTGAGTTGCTGTTTACACACTGGTTCAAAATCAAAGCTGATTGAACCACATGTTCCCAGGGAAGAGATGACTAGAGAAAATACACAGAAGGCTTGTCATCTTATTCCAGTATATTCACAAAGAATCTGTAAGGTTTTTCTCCCAACATATCTCACAAGAAGGAAAAGTAGTTTAATTTCACCCCATCCTTTGATTTAAGTAATTCATATTTTTCTTGATATTTATTTTCAGTGATTAATTTCCATTATTGGAGCTTAACCTATTCATATTTCTTATGTATTTTAGACAGCAGGAAATGAAATTGAATTAGGAAATGAAGTTGGTGAGTCTAAAAATGAAATTGATAATTTAGACATGTCTTCAAAAGATTCAGCATCCAGTCTAATCAGAAGGAGATCAACTCGCAGAAGTATCCGTGGACCACATGACCAAGACAGGAAGCTTAGTACCAAAGAGGCCTTGGTATGGACAAAGATGTAATATTATGTCCCAAATCCTCCCCTTGAGCCCTCCTAGTTGAGTGTGCTGAGTCTGAAGGAGTGGGAACTACAACGTATTCTCTCTACTCCTTTTGTTCTGTTCTCCATAGTGCTACAGAAAACAAAATGGTGATGTTTTATAGTCAGTTTAGGTTTAAGAGTAAAAGTTAATAGCAAGATGTTTAGAAATAGAACTTAGAATATGGAGAGACTATAGTAGGCGTTTAAGTATTACTATTTCTATTATGATTATCCTTATTGGTTAATATTCTTGTCATTTGTTGAATGTCAAGAATTAAATACTTGTGGAAGCATCATTCATTTCTTAAAAAGTAAGGGAGTACTATATTGTATTAAGGTTGTATTTGAAGGCAAATATCCATAACTGATAAAGAATAGAAATAGGGTAAATATTTATTTTAAAAACTTGTACCCTTCTTGTAAGCCCAACACATGAATGGTGAAGAGAGAAAGATTAGATGTTCATTTGAAGCCAGCCTGAAATACACGAGGCCCTGCCTCAACAGCAGAAGAAAACTTTATACACATGGAAAAACTCTACACAGAAAAATCAGTGATAATCTTTTTAAAAAATACCTATCTTGTTGTATATGTTTTCTAGGATGAAGATGTACCTCCAATTTCCTTTTGGCGTATCCTAAAGTTGAATTCATCTGAATGGCCATATTTTGTGGTTGGTATATTCTGTGCCATAGTAAATGGAGCCTTGCAACCAGCATTCTCAATAATATTTTCTAAGGTTGTAGGGGTAAGTGATTATATCCATTTTTATATTACTTAAGAGTCTTGACTAGAAAAATGAATGAACTGTCTTTAATACACACACACACATATACATACACACATATATATGTCTCATATATATAAGTCATAAAGACATTTTCCTTCACACAAATCAACTTGGTTGAAAGTATAATTGAAATTTGGTTTATAAGGACAATTTTGTAATCATTTTTTGTATTAATTTCTATCTAGGTTCCCTAATGGTTTCTATTCTAGGGCCCTGGGCACCCACTCACTGATATAGTCAATGGAACTGGGGAACTCTGTTTTCTATGTTTGTGAACATTGAACTCTGAGCCAAAGTCATGAACAGATCTGATGAACCCAACTGATCTGCCCAGGGGCTCTTTTATGTTTGCCAAACTGGGTTGACAATAACCTGTTGTGTAAAATGCATACTGGTTGGCCAGCATATGAGCAGACCCAAACACTGCACTCACTTCCTCAGACTAAAACAGAAGGAAACAGCTCTATGTTAGTTAGCTTTTCATGACTACAGCAGACAGTTGAGGGTTTCCCTCTTCTTTCAGGCTACAGGAGATTGAACAAATGTTCTCACACATTCTAGACAAGTGCTGCACCACCCAGCACACCCCTTGCCATTTACTATTTTAATTTGGAGACAAGGTCTTTCTAAGCTGCCCAGGTTGGTCTTGAGCTTGTAGTGTAGCCCAGGCAGAATTTGAACTTCAGATCTTTTCTGTTTTCAGCATTCTGTGATGGCAGGCATGCGTTACCATGCTGGAATCTCAGAGAAGAAATACAAGAGAAGGGAAGATTTAATTTGCTCACACTTTCCTAGGTTTCAGGCTAAAGCAGTCAGCTGCATTCACTGTTGCAAGCCAGAGGCATGGCATTGTGATGGTAGATGCATGTGGCAGAGCGGCCTCTCTTATGGTATCCGGGAAACGAGAAAGATAGAAATGAACAAGGAACAAGGCATATTTTTTTTCCAAGACTCCTTCCCTAATCATGATGTGATCCACTTTCTCTATCAAGGTTCCCACCTCCCTATAATGCACATACAGTGCGTCCATCCATTGATGAGGCCTGAGCACTCATAGTACAAACACCCATCTGTGACTAGACCCACCAGGAATAAAATCTACCAAATGAGCCTCTTGTTGGGAGACTTAATATGCAAACTATAACAAGTTCCCTGAAGGTGGAAGCGCACATGCTAGGTCTACTTAATTTTAACAGCAGCATTTAAATAACAGTTATAGTCTAAACAGTCATGCTCATGGTTTACTGACAGAAACAAATCAGCAGACATAGTACTGAAGACATATTTGCCTTACTGCTAAAAATCTTTTGCAGACAGAAACATCACCATAAGAAGCATCAAACAAACACTACTCATTGTACAACCAAAAATACATAACTCTTCTAGTCTACCTGTACCTTCTTAGATTAATACTCATGTTTAGTATGTCATTCAAGAAATGTTTGCTCAGTGTCCAATTTGTGTAAGGTATTTTTATAAGCTATGAAAATACTAAAAAGTAGGGGAAACATCTGATTCTATGGAATACATTATAGAAAACAGGCTAGCAAACATATTCTGTAAAGTGTAAGAAGAGCAAATATTTTAGGCTTTGCTGGCCGTGTGGTTTCTGATGCAAATAAGGGTAAGTTAGAAATGGGTCTGCCTGGTTTTGGACCAAAAAAGAAAAAGAAAAAAAAAAAGAAAGAAAAAAGTCAACAATGACACTTAGGTTTTCCTCATTCTTCCTGCAGAGATCCATTTGGAGACTGACAACTGGCCCATTAGCTCTAAGTAGATAGGCAGACAACCATCTGCCACCCTGTAAATAGTGTGCTCTGGGCCAGAAGGCTTGGGTTTCTGTTCATTTCTTCCTGGCTTTTTTTTTTTTTTTTTTTTTTTTTTTTTTTTTTTTTTTTGGGCTTCTCTGTGTAGCTTTGGAGCCTATCCTGGCACTCGCTCTGGAGACCAGGCTAGCCTTGGAACTCACAGAGATCTGCCTGCCTCTGCCTCCCGAGTGCTGGGATTAAAGGCGTGCGCCACCAACGCCCGGCTCTTCCTGGCTCTCTTGAGTAGGTTAATATATCTCTGCTTCACTTTCTCTCTGTAAATGGTGAAAGTAATGTAGCAGATGCCCCTGATGGAAGGCCCAACACAGGTGAATGTGAATTCAATCATGCCTAGCATTTAGTACAATGTGGAAATGACTAATCAAGATAATTGAGTTGATGTTTTCTGAAAACTGTTTTTCCTTTTTATTAAGTGTAAAGTTTTCTGGCTTGGTTTAGGAATGTGTCGCTCTTGACTTAACCCAGAAGAAAAGGCGTGTTTTCTTTCCCTGTTGAATGATTGTGCTGTGAGTTCTTTCAGCTCCAAACATCTTTTTAGCACTTCTAATCATCTCTGGAAAGGTTCCCCTGTGAGGCCTCAATCAGTTGGCTGTCACTGCCACCTGGCTTTCTGACTGTCACTCCTACAAGATATACTGGAAAAGGTACCTTTCTCTCTGAAAGGTTGAATGGATGACACATAAATACATTCTCTCCAGACACCTTGAGATACGAAATGTCCACATAGTTGAGTTGGGGCTGTAGCGGTCCCTCAATAAAATGCTTACTGTGAAGCATGCAGACCTGTGTTGCTCCTCACCACCAGTATAAAAGCCAGGGCTGGTGACGCACATTTGCAATTCCAGTGCTGGGGAGATGGAGATAAGAGGATCTCCCAGGACAAACAGGCAAGTCATTCTAGCCTAATTGCCCCTGGTCCAGTGAGAATCTCCATCTTACAAGATGATGTCTCGGGTCTGGAGATTGGCTTGGTGCTTAGGAAGAATTGCCCCAAAGGACCCACAGTTCCCAGTGTTCACCTGATGGTTCACAATCATCTGCAACTCCAGCACAAGGGGACCTGAACCCTCTTCTGACCTCCAGGGAACCAGGCACACACATAGTGCACATACATACATTCAGGCAAAAACTCATACACAGAAAAATAAAATAAGTAAATCTAAAAAGAGTGGAAAATCCTAAGCAACCACACACAAGCTTGACCTCTGTGCTCCATACACGTCTGCTCAACCTGACAGACACACACAAAGAAACAACTCAGAATACAGTCTGTTACAAGAAAGTCAAAAGGAGAGTATTTATTTGAATTTTTCTCACAAAGAAATACGGCACCAGTTTCTCTAGGAGGAACACAAGTGCAAAGAATGTTGGATGAATTTGTGAATGACAGACCAACCCCCGCCCCCATGCCCCAACAAAGGCAGAACGCAGGTACTTTAGAGGCTGACTTTATTATAGAAGCTAGCTCTGTTCCTGGAACAAAGACTGTCCCAACTCCTAAACTTCATAATGTATTAAATGGGGCAGATGAAGAATGCTTTCGTAGTGATGGAACTAACAACGCTTCAAATTTTTTTAATAGGTTTTCACAAGAAATACTGATGATGAAACCAAACGACATGATAGCAACTTGTTTTCCTTATTGTTTCTGATCCTTGGGGTCATTTCTTTTATTACATTTTTTCTTCAGGTAAGTGTCTTATTATCACTTCATCCATTCAGGTCGATTTATGAACATGAATTATCCTTATCATAAAATTGTTTCTCTCTTACCATGGCCAGTGATAGCCAGATTGTTTTTTTATCCTTTGGCTAGCCTCACCTTCTGTTTCCCAACCAACCACGCCCCAGATGGAAACAGTGATATGATCATATTGAACAGATTATTCTGTCTACCACAGAAATGGAAGACGAGGTCTCAAGTGCCTATTTTGGGGTGAGCCTGAGTCACTTTGGATGTACATTCCACTGGTCAGTTTGAATAGTCAGAGAAATGTCTTCCTGTATTCCAAAACAAACAAGCAAATAAATGAAACTCCAAACAGGTCACAGATTTAAAAGGTTTTCAAAAGCTTATCAATCTCTTACAAAATGAAAAAAAAGCCTCAGTAATGAAAAAATGAGTCTTAAAAATCCTAAGAAATATGAACAAGATATTTTACAGCCTGCAGACCATTTGGCACAAATACAGTTGTAAATGAACTAAACACTCTTGCAGTGTAGTGTGGGAAAGCATACAGTGTGGACTTTGGTGTTATACACAGGTGTGCAAATATGTATTTGCACATATACACAATTGTGTGTCTGGTAATTTAGGCTGTCTAAGCCTCAGTTTCCTTATCTGTAAATGGGAACAGTGTTGCCTCTTGATAATTTAGAGAGCTCATGTGACCAAGAGTTCAGATTGATTTGAGGTGTTACGTTACTGCTTACTGAGTAAAATGTAAGTAACCACTGATTTAATGCATCAAATTCGTCCACATGTATTTTTTAGCAAAAACTAAACACATTTCTTTATTAAACACATTCTAAGTATATATTAGGGTTTTTGTTGTTTGTTTGTTTGTTTTTTTGGTTTGTCAAGACAGGGGTTTCTCTTTGTAGCCTTGGCTGTCCTGAAATTCACCCTGGAAGCCAGGCTGGCCTCGAACTCACAGAGATCCACTTACCTCTGCCTCGAGTGCTAGGATTAAAGGGGTGCACCACTGCTACCCACCTTATATTAGTATATTAACAGTTAACACACATGTAAATAATCTCAGTTAAAATGAAATAGGTTTCTTTGTTTAACACATTCAAATATATCAATATTTTAAGAGAAAAAAACATTGTTCTTAACATAAGAACACAAAAGAAAAAATGGTGTTTGTTTACTAAATAATTAAAAGACTCATTGTGGAACTTGACCTTGGTATAGTAACACTGCCTCTAAGAGTGTTCCAGGTGTGTGAAAATGAACACTTCCTCCATGTGAATTTGGCAAGAGATTAGAAATGAGGCAGCTTTAAGCAGGTCACTTTTGCTTTGACAGCTGGGATGGTACAATACAGGGAGAGAAAGCAGTTCCCTCACACTTGGGCTATGGTGCTGAGACAGTCATTCATGACTGCAAAACACATTAAGAACAGTGAGTGGACCCATGGACTTCCAGTGTGGAGACAGCCAGGGGCTGGAAAGGATAAAATGTCCAGCTGGTCATCTGAGAAACAGGACAGGAGCTCACACGGAGTCCATTCCTGCTCCAGACACTCACAGACCCTGATTCCCACTGTGTACTGCATTTGAATCTCTGGTTAGCCTCTTGTGTGATGTGTTCTCATTCTCCTAGGGCTTCACATTTGGCAAAGCTGGAGAGATCCTCACCAAGCGACTCCGATACATGGTTTTCAAATCCATGCTGAGACAGGTATGGCTGGTGAGGCTTGTACTCTGGGGTGAGTAGGACTTCTCTTGTGTTCTGTGGACACAGACTGTAGGAGTACTGTCCAGTTCCTTAGATAGAGATCCTGCATGGGTCTCCATCAGCCTCCTCTTGCTGGTGAGCCATCCATAGATGTAGGCTACAGACCTGTAGCCTATTTGCTGCAGGCGAGCATAAGGAACCGGACTGTGTTGAGACTATTATGTCTCCTGATGGTTCTCTATCGAGGCAGTGGATACCAAGATGGCCCTCTATACTTTGTTCTAGTGCAAAGCTTGAGAAATGTTAGAAGAGATCTTCGGTGCCTTCTTTTTCCTGCACACTCAGAACATGCTATCTTGACTCTCTGAACCCGGGAAAAGTTTGTACTACTCTTGCCCAAATTCCGACTCATTTTCACGGCCCACTCCTCACTGTTGAGATTCTTTGCTGAGGCAAGACTAACGGAGTAACCCAAGTGACAGGACTATTAGCTGGTCATGACTTAATATGAGTGCCTGTTACATTCTGCACATTAAGGTCTTAACTGACAATATTGTTAGCAGTCCTGTTCAAAGTGGAAAACTTCAGCAGTCATGCAAATGTTGTATGTAATCTTAAATCTTCCCTTTCGAAATTATGAGTTACCACTGTAAACTGATGCTCTTGATACAGAGGTGGCCTACTTTTTTACATTAAGATGAGACGTTGTTATCTACAAACTTGTTGGACCACATTAGTAGCATCCTGGGATGCATGAGACTCATGAGGTATAGATTGGACGTACCTGAAAGCTGTCCCACAAGACTAAGATGTAACACAGAGGTTGATCCTGGAATCCATTCAGGTCCCAATACTGAAAAAAAAAAAAAACCCAAGAGTGAGAAATACCAGTTTCTTGTGTTGAGATTTCCAGAAGACAGTAATTTTCCACTCCACTTACAACTGCTTATATAGAAATAGTTAGCTAATGGCATCTTTATACAAATAGCTAACCAATGATAGTCACAGTTGAAACAGAACCTGATGGGTGAGAGAGCACTGTTTTATGGAAGTCTCTCCCCTTGGACTCCTCTCGTTGTTTTGAAGATAGGGTCATTTGTACCCAAGTTTAACCTCAAACTCACAATATAGCTGAGCATAATATTGAACTCTGCCTCCCAAGTTCTGGGATCACAGCTTTCAAGCTGTATTTATAACCTAGATTCTACTTAAACAGTCTCAAAGTTGACCTTGTTACAGCACCATGTGCCCCATTACCCCATCAGCCTCCATGCCAACTATCAGGTCCATTATACTCGTGAGCAGAGCAAATGGTGTGTGTGAACAGTACAAACTGTTATGGACAGCAGGCATATCAGAGCCACTACTTAGGAAGTATAGTATTAACTTTTGCAAGGTATTCAAATCTGAATGACCTCTCTCTTTAAGGATGTCATGTTACAGTGGAATAACATTTAAATACCTAAGTACTAAAAAGTCAATTGATATAGACTATAATTAGTTATTTTCTAGCTTTTCAAAATAAAAAGGTACAAAATCCTTAATACAAGTTACCAATTCAGGTAACATCTTAAAAACTAAAGTTATTTGTGAAAGACATAAATTCATAATTAAAATCAAAATGTGTTTATTTTAAAATATATGAAGATGTTGAGACAGCTTAGCCATTAAATGTGCTTGGCCTGAATTTGATCCCCAGAGCCCACACGATAGAAGGACAGAACCAACTCTCACAAACTGTCCTCTGACTTCCATGTATGTGCCATGGCAAGTTTGTGCATCCACACATACAATCAATCATTAATAAATGTAAACAATGAAAACATAAGAAGTTTTACAAGTGAAATCCCTTTTTGTGTTGTATATCCTTTTTAAAATCTAGATTGCTTTTGACTTGTTTTTCATTCAGCTCGTTTATTCTGCCCTGACTAGAGTTAACTATCTGCTGTTTCCCGTTTTTCTATTCTGATAGTCACACTTTAGTATTTCTGAACTTGAATTTTTATTTTTCTTGCCCCAGCAGGCTTACTACTTCATATCTACTCCTTTTTTTTTTTTTTTTTTCTGTGTAACCCTGGCTGCCCTCACCTGTAAGATAAAACTGGTCTGGAACTCAAAGATTCACCTGCCTCTATCTTCAGAGTGAGTCCTGAGACCTAAGGCGTATGCCACCACTGCCCAACTCCATCTCTATCTCTAGCAGTTGTTCAGACTCAACTCTTGATAGCCCCCCTCTTTGTCTAACGTCCCATAAGCCTCCTCGATGGTTTCATTACCTCCATCCTCATCTCAACCTAGATGCAGTTGGGTTCTTTCAGGGAACAGTCTCTATGTAGTATCTACAGTTTCGGAAGGCTGTTCATGGTATGCATGCCCCACCCACACCACAGAGGTCATCTTCAGGGCACGATAGGTAACTACACAGGCTGGGGAGGAGAGAATTAGAGGAATCCCAGCAGGATGTAATTCCCTTGTGTGTGTCAACAGATCAAGTAAGTATGCCTCAGCCTTGGGGCCTCTTGGAATGTTGTATCTTTCTCCTCTTAGATACTTTCATGGTCTCTGGTGGCACATTTTTTTGGAAGGGACTTCCCTCTCTCTCCCCTACTCTGTAAAACAGCACCTTTCTCACATCTTTGCCACGGTGTTTGTCACCATCTGAGATGGTGTGTGCTTGTTTCTGTGTGCCTTCCAACCCCTGAAGGAAGTCTTGAAGACATCAGTAACTTTGTTGTTAGTGTTCATTGCTCAACACTTGGAGTCAGGCTTTAAACAAAGTTGAGACTGAGACATACTTTTGGCAGATGAAATAATCTATTTTTGTTTGTTTTTAAAACCACTTTCCTGTCTGTTGACTGTTACACCCTGAATGCTAAATGCAGAGGATGCCAATGCTAAACAAAGTGTCTCTGTCACCTTCCTCCTGGAGCTGAAGTCTTATAAGTAGGGCTTTAAGATAACAAAATCTCTTTGTGCCACAGGATGTGAGCTGGTTTGATAACCCTAAAAACACCACTGGAGCATTGACCACCAGGCTCGCCAACGATGCTGGTCAAGTTAAAGGGGTATGTGCTTCCTTTCTGTGGGTGTTCATCTCAGTGCTGTGTAGGCTTAGCATGGGACTGACTTCCTGGTAACCATTTCAATACTGCAACTAGTTATCTGTGTTAATTACTTGCCTATTGCTGTGGTAAAACCAAAGGCAACGTATAGAAGAAAGGGTTTATTTGGATTTGAAGTTCCTGAGGGTGGAGAGTAAACCATGGCAGGGAGGGGAGACAGCAAGAGGCGGGTATGGCAGCAGGAACAGGGACCTGAGAGATCACATCTTGCTGTAAGCACAAAGCAGACTGGAAGTGGTAGGAGGCTTTAACCTCTCAAAGCTGGCCTCCAGTGATGTCCTTCATCCAGGAAGACTGTACCTCCCATAACTTCTCCCAACAATACCACCAGCTGAGAACCAAGTGTTCAAACGCCTGCAGCTTTGGGGGACATTTCTCATTTAAACACCACAAGTTCTGTTCCCCAACTATATCAAACTCTTTACAGTAAATACATTAAAATCCAAAGATTATATACTATATAGTGTATAGGTAGCTATAAATTTCCTTTTATGTTTGCTGTCAGTCATAACATGAAGAAGATGAATACCAATAATTAGGAAAGGAAATATTTGTGGTATTCCCAGCAGAATCACTCTGTTTTCCATGCTCAGTTAATGTTTATAATTGATGTTTGGAGAAAAAGGGATAGTGTAGTTGTGATCTAAAACATAAGAGACACTGCAGTTCAGTCAGAAACAAAGAAAATGTTCTTAAAATTCACAGAAGAAAATGAAAGCACATTAAAACTGTGGCATTGACAGAAAGAAATCTTAACAAACTATAAACCTGAAAGTGTGCTGTTACCTCAATCCCCTGTTGACGGAAATGGAAACTGTTGAACAATCAGGTTTTGATTTTTTGGATGAAGTGGAAGTTTCTTGCCCAGCTACATTTTTTATAGCAAAAATCTGGAACAGTGTTGAAGTTGAGTGGACATGATCTGTGCCTTGTGATTCTGCCGTGAGCCTTGTCCCCCTTTGTCCCAGTCTTTCTGAAAGGCAGAACTACACATACTCCTCCATCTAACAAATAGGACCAGTGATAGGTGAAATTGTGAATTTGAAAGCACACATTACTGTGGAACTGCAGCATAAATATCAAGGATTATTGTTTATGTGACTCTCTTTGCTTAAAGCAAACAAATGACAAAACCCATGCTACAGATACAGGCATATAAACTTAACAGAACAAACGGACACTGAATGAATTTGGAACTTCCTCAGACAATTGTCTTGCTCTTGTGGAGCAACACAGACTGTAGATGGTTGAACATTGTATGTTGTACTTCTGGTTGTCCCAAGGACTGTCACTTATGGTGGGAATGAAAGTCTGATGGCACTGGTCTTGAGAGACTGGAAGAGAAAAAAGATTACAGATGGACATATGGTTAAAAGACTTCATAAAATATGAAAGAGTCATGGGGTAATGGAGAAGATGTTAAATTTTTACTTTCTATTTTTTATGTTTATTTCACTTTGCTTATACATCAAGGACTTTATCGTCACTGGAACTATCTTGATTTGCGTGTGTGCATGTGTGTGTGTGCGCGTGCGTGCGTGCGTGCGTGCGTGCGTGCGTGCGTGCGTGCGTGCGTGCGTGTGTGTGTGTGTGTGTGTGGTCAAGGGCAAGCCCTACATATGCCTAAAACTTAGAAGCCCAGAGAACTGTCTCTACTGTGTCCAGGACAGATGTTCTGAGTACTTCTGTCCCTTAGTGGCTTCTATGTCAGATTGTAGATGCTGGCAAAAGGGCACCCTAGCACATCCCTGTGGGGCAGATTCTCTCTAGGTTGTTTCACTTTCACAAGAGAAACGTGGAGAGCTGGCTTTTCAGACACCTGTACTCTCTGGCCAGTGCCCATGCCCAGTTTAGCAAAGGGCCACTTCATCATAATTATATTCAATGATTATACCAAAAGCAACAGCTATGCTGTATTCTCCATGCTATAACTTTCAACCCAGTTTCAGCTTCCTACTGAAAACTAAAGTGTATAAAGGCTCATGGGAGTTATAGTACTTTCCCCTAAGTCCCAGTCTACTGATTGTGTCAGATAGGTATCAAGTGATACAGGTAGGATAATGCCAGAATTCGGAATGAAGGAGAGGCTTGGGTTATTAATCAATTAATCTTCTCAGTTTTGGATTTGGGAGGGATTTGTCAAAAGTGACAGGGATGGCCAATGACCACCCTAGACTACACATCATAATCTTTAGTGAGACCAGCCAGCCATGCTCAAGTGAAAAAAAAAATTAGTTCTGGTAAAGGACGTGTGCTGTTTATTTGCAGAGGAATTAGGTGCCGGGGACCCAACAGGGATATGAGATTGTATGAGGTACCAGAGTAGTTCCAAGTAGAGTAGATGGACTCTTGGACACTCCTGGGACTGTGCTAACCTGAGTGGATTAATTACTGGTTTAGAGCTGGGAATCGCTATAAAGTAGTGAAAGGCATGTATTGTGACCCTCTGGCATTCTACCCACAGGTTCTGCTTTATCCACTGCAAACCATACTCTCTAACTTTCAAATCTTCATTTTTTTTTTCAAAAAAAAAAGTGTTTCAAATAGGCCCAAATAAAAGGCAGGAGGATCTCTTAGTTCATAGGCCAGCCTGGTCTACAGAGTTGAGTTCCAGGAGAGCCAGTGCTACACAGAGAAACTCTGTTTCAAAAAACAACAAAACATAACAAATAAACAGAGAAAACAAATAGGCCCAAATATATTTGAACACCTTTATTGACACACATCTTCCTTAAACTATAAACAGTTTTATAACTAAATGGCCACCATTCCCAGGCTAATGGAATTGCCAGATTCTTAGCATTCTGATTGCTGAGTTGGGTTTAGTCATCATGCTTTGGCACACAAACATTTTCTTGGTACTGAAAGAATAGAATATATATATATATATATATATATATATATATATATGCATTTTGGATTGTTTCTCTACATTTAGTAATTTTTTTTTTTTTTTTTT